TATGAGGTAAATTCTATAAATCCCCTTAAGGTTATGACAAAATCCCTTATCCAACCCAAAATCCCTTTAAGACTGTTACAAAATTCCTTAAATATCCTAAAATAACCTTAAGGTGCTCGTCACGACAGTCTAATTAACACCAGTAATTAACTGTCTATCTACCTGTCAATTTACTTATCTATTAATCAAAATATTTCACCTACCTATCTATCTCATTAATTACCTTGACATATAATCTATCAATAAGCATACATAATTATGCTATGTATTTATGTATGTATTTATGTATGTATGTATGTATGTATGTATGTATGTATGTATGTATGTATGTATGTATGTATGTATGAAAGAGTAAATACAGTGGATGACAGAATCGACTCGCACACAAAAAGTCTACGGTGACATCCAGCCAGATTTCACTATCTCTTTAGTATTGTATTAGGTCAGGTTAGGTTAGTTTAGTTTAGGTTAGGTTAGAGTTTAGGGAGATTAATCTTCATGTGAAATAAACTAAGAGGGGGGCTAATCTTCAGGTCAATAACCTCACAAGACGAGTACCGAATGCTTCACCACCTCGCTCTGAAGACCCTCCCATTACCTGGTCTTTACACGTCACCTGAGATGAATTTACGGTCAGGAATATAATAACCATCGGTCATGTCACTCACGGCAGCAACTGGAGGAAGGGTTTGACCGAGATGGGAAATGCGATTGGGTGACGTACGTAAAGACAGATGACAGTCGCGTTGGAGGCTTTGACAGTGTGTGTGTGTGTGTGTGTGTGTGTGTGTGTGTGTGTGTGTGTGTGTGTGTGTGTGTGTGTGTGTGTGTGTGTGTGTGTGTGTGTGTGTGTGTGTGTGTGTGTGTGTGTGTGTGTGTGTGTGTGTGTGTGTGTGTGTGTGTGTGTGTGTCTTTGAACCTGTTGTATGATGCTGTTGTGTGTTAGTTATTTTAAATAAAACCAACAGTTAATTAATATATCATCACCTAACCTAACCTAGTATTACTATTATATAAAGTGATTGGTATTAAATTATTGCAATAAAAGACAAAACGTTTCTCTGCCAGACAAACACATCGGTTGGGATTTAAGTTTTAATTGGACGATAATCCATATCTAACGACACACACACACACACACACACACACACACACAAATAGATATGTTCGTTTCTCCCTTATACCCACCACTCCACCAGGCCCTAATAGACCTCTCCCTGTGTAATTAAATCTATTTGTCTCTCGTTAGGATGTAATTGGTGACTCCTGTATACACTGTGTTCATCTGATTAGTAGTAATTAGTGACACACACACACACACACACACACACACACACACACACACACACTAGAGTGACTGAGTGAGGTTGAAAAGTTATAATTGAATGTGTGTTTTTTTATAACCCATAAACGTATTGATGTTATCACACCACTGTCAATGTCCTATGTTAAATAATTATCAATGTTAGTTTATGTTAAAATGATCAATGTTACTGTGTGTTAATCAGTGTTAGATGTGTTAAATTATCAATGTTAGATGTGTTAAATTAATTATCATTAACACAAAAGGTTAAATGAATTCATATATTAATCTATTTCTTTCAACTTTTTCATTTTGTTAAGAAGAAAAACTGAGATTGAAATATGAATATAAATAAATATATTGAAATTCATCAGCAATTCTATTTCCCACTTCCATGTTGTGTCCAGTTGAACTTTCTTTCTTTCTTTCTTTCCCTCTTTCTTTCTTTTCTTTCTTTCTTTCTTTCTTTCTTTCTTTCTTTCTTTCTTTCTTTCTTTCCCTCTATCTTTCTTTCTCCCCTCTCTCTCTCTCTCTCTCTCTCTCTCTCTCTCTCTCTCGCCTAGCGGTTCATTAACGTTCATTAATCCCAACTGAATCCCAATAAATCCTTTGGCGATTCCATTAATCCAAAGTAATCCCTATTATTTCCCCGTTAATCCCTGTGTAGTTGTTTTAACGTTGTCCTGTGTTACGTCTAGCCTGCGTCACACTAATTACGTCACTGCCACGCCATCCTTGTTACGTCAATCCCACGTCATCCTTCTTTCACCAATCCTGCGTCTTTCTTATTACGTCAATGTTACGTCATCCTTGTTACGTCAGAAGACATCATCTGTTTTGCGACACAGAAACGTCATCTATAGTACGTCACGCCTACGTCATCAACCCCCCCCCTTAACACCAACATTAACCCCGTTATACAAGACACTTCACTTGACACCCTGAACACGGAGGCAAATTTAACGCCCAAAACAAAATCTAATTTACGTGACTGATGGCGGAAAAAAACCCCGACTCGACGAATATTTAAAATCTATTTTGAAAATTCTAGAGCAAATTTTGACCCAATTAAAATTTTTGGGGGTGAAAATTTCCCCCTTTGATATAAGAGCAAGAGGCAATATATATAATTTTTATATATAATTTTATAGGTTGGGTTCTATTTATATCAGGAATTTCTAGATTAAATGTATGTAATATTATAGACGATAATATATGATGGTGTGATTATATATTGGTGGGTATATAGGGCTGCTGATATTCATGTAATATAATCACTTGAGCAGTTATCAAAGACTCCAACACTTAACACTTGAGCACTTACTTATCAACACTTCAGCACCTAACACTTGAGCACTTACTTGGCCATCATAGCGTCGGTGGCCACTCGACACAGGATGCCCCGATTAGCGTTACACTGGCCAGTGACCGGGTCAGGTGAGGCCAGGCTGATGTAAGGCGGCTCTTCCAGGAACACAATCTAGGAAGAAAAGAGGAGGAGGGTTAGTGTGAGGCAGTATTTTGTGGTCTGGAACAATGTATTAGGTCTGGAACAAAAGTGAGGCAGTATTTTGTGGTCTGGAACAAAAGTGAGGCAGTATTTTGTGGTCTGGAACATTGTATTAGGTCTGGAACAAAAGTGAGGCAGTATTTTGTGGTCTGGAACAAAAGTGAGGCAGTGTTTTGTGGTCTGGAACATTGTATTAGGTCTGGAACAAAAGTGAGACAGTATAATGCGGCCTGGAATTAAGGTGAGGCAGTGTAATGTGGTCTGGAACAATGTATGAGGGTCTGGAACGACGAGAGACAAAAAGGCAAGAAGGGTCTGGAAAAACAAAAGACACAGTGTCAGAAGAGCGACAGAAATAATAGCCAGTCAGTCTTGCTCAGGAACGTTTTTATCAGGTCTGCAAATACAAAGGACGCCATTTTAAGAATCTGAAACGACAAAGAGGCAGAATCTTACTGGTGTAGGTTCTGGATCGACAAGAGGCCGTATCTATCTGAGGGGAGGGGGTCTTGGATCGACATGGGGGAGGGAGGGGTATTAGGGAGGGGTAAGAGGCCTGAACTCTGGAACAACCAACTGGGGAAGGGAGAGGGAGAGGAGGAGGAAGAGAGGTGGAGGGTGACGAATCTTACACAGCAAAACCTTCATTCTTAGTTGGTCTAGAAAACGACAGTAGTTGGTAGTATTGTCTGGACTGGAATGGCGAGATAGTGCTAGGAGGATATTGGCCGTCCAGGAACACGATCTGGAGCAACAAGGGCTCAGTCTTAGCAGGTCTGGTATGTGAAGGCGGTGCTGGATATTGGCTTTTTCATCACGGAATTGGAAAAGGAAAGGTTCTTGTCGGGTATAGAGGCAAGGTGTAAAGTGTCCAAATGAACTTTTCCGGATTTTGTCTTCGAGGCGTTGTTCTGCGTTAGGATACCTGGGAGGGTAGGCAGGGGCCGTTTAGGAGTTACCTTGTAGGATACCTGGGAGTGTAGGATACCTGGGAGTGTAGGAGGAACTGTGTACTGTGTAGGATACTAGGATACCTGGGAGTGTAGGAGGGGCCGTTTAGGAGTTACCTTAGATACCTGGGGGTGTAGGAGTGGCTGTGTACTGTGTAGGATACTAGGATACCTGGGAGTGTAGGGAGGGCCGTTTAGGAGTTACCTTGTAGGATACCTGGGGGTGTAGGAGTGGCCGTGTAGGATACCTGGATATTACAGGATGTAAAGGACCCGGACTTAACTCCTGTGTGAAGTTGTAATTATCGTTGTTTGTGAATCATAAACTTGACGTTAATGAAAACTATAAGAAAAGAAAGAAGAAGAAAATAAAAGAAAAATATAGAAAAGAATGAAAATTAAGAACGACAAGGAAGAAAGAGGAAGAAAAAATACACTTAAATATAAAATAAAAAAGAAACAATAAACGAATTAGAATAAGAAAGAAAGAAAATTGAAAAACGAGAGAAAACTACTTCTTCCAGTAATCTTTATCACAGAGCACAGGTTGGTGAGAGGCCAGGTGTCAGGTGGGTATAAGGAGAGAGAGAGAGAGAGAGAGAGAGAGAGAGAGAGAGAGAGAGAGAGAGAGAGAGAGAGAGAGAGAGAGAGAGAGAGAGAGAGAGAGAGAGAGAGAGAGAGAGAGAGAGAGAGAGAGAGAGAGAGAGAGAGAGAGAGAGAGGTGGGGATGACTTTCTCTGTAAATTAAAGTGATACGGGAGCTGGATTACCTGAATATTATCCTCAGCTTATTTCACGGGAAGCTTAGACACCCTATCGCTAGCTGGAGGAGGGGGTGGATTAAGTTAGTTAGGTTAGGTTAGATTAGCGTCAGTGCAGCTAATCACAGGGTAACATAAGTTTGAAGCAGCGGAAGGTGACAAAGAGAAACCAGATTAATGAAATTTAACCCCCTTCCTCCCTCACCTTCACTCCTCCCTCACCTCACCTCACCACCTCATCCCTCCTCCCTCACCCTCACCCCCTCCTCCTTCACCTCACCCTCCCCACCCCATGAGAAATGAGAAGCCATCAGCATGTCCTCTTAAGAATGTAGGCAAGAGATGTGTTCCCTGATAAGAAAAGTAAAAGTTTTCACAAGGAGTTTGGGCGGATTTTCGTCTGGAATGAAAGGCACTTGGATTGAGTGGATCTGGAATGTGGTGGCCGGTGATGTTAGTTCCCCCACGGTGGCGGC